GTTTTCCCTTGCTGCTTTTAATATTTGCTCTTTGTGTTTGATCTTTGTTAGTTTGATTAATATGTATCTTGGGGTGTTTTGCCTTGGGTTTATTCTGTTTGGGACTCTCTGGGATTCTTGGACTTGGGAGGCTATATCCTTCCCTGTTTTAGAGAAGTTTTCAACTATTATCTCCTCAAGTATTTTCTCGTGCCCTTTATTTTTGTCTTCTTCTTCTGGGACACCTATGAATTGAATATTGGGGCATTTAACATTGTCCCAGAGGTCTCTGAGGTTGTTCTCATTTCTTTTAATTCATTTTTTTCTTTTTTTCCTTTCTGCTTCATTTATTTCCACAGTTCTATCTTCCACCTCACTTATCCTCTCTTCTTCTTCAGTTATTCTACTCTTGGTTCCCTCCAGAGTGCTTTTGGTCTCAGTTATTGTATTATTCATTATTGATTGATGCTTATTTCTTCTATGTCTTTATTAAACATTTCTTGCACCTTCTCAATCCTTGTCTCTAGTCTATTTATTAAAAAAGAAAAGAAAAACTCCATTTTGTTTTCAAAACTTTGGATCATCTCTACTATCATTATTCTGAATTCTTTTTCAGGTAGACTCCCTATCTTCTCCTCTTCTGTTTGGTTTTGTGGGCATTTACCATGTTCCTTTACCTGCTGTATATTGTCACCCTGCTTATTTAACTTATATGCAGAGTACATCATGAGTAATGCCGGACTGGAGGAAGCACAAGATGGAATCAAGATTCCCCAGAGAAATATCAATAACCTCAGATATGCAGTTGACACCAGCCTTATGGCAGAACATGAAGATGAACTAAAGAGCCTCTTGATGAAAGTGAAAGAGGAGAGTGAAAATGTTGGCTTAAAGTTCAACATTCAGAAAACTAAGATCATGGCATCCAGTAGCATCACTTCATGGCAAATAGAAGGGGAAACAGTGGAAACAGTGGCTGACTTTATCGTTTGGGGCTCCATAATCACTGCTGATGGTGACTGCAGCCATGAAATTAAGAAGCTTACTCCTTGGAAGGAAAGTTATGACCAACCTAGACAGCATATTAAAAAGCAGAGATGTTACTTTGTCAACAAAGGTCCATGTAGTCAAGGCTATGGTTTTTCCAGTGGTCATGTATGGATGCAAGAGTTGGACTATAAAGAAAGCTGAGTGCTGGAGAATTGACGCTTTTGAACTGTGGTGTTGGAGAAGACTCTTGAGAATCCTTTGGACTGCAAGGAGATCCAACCAGTCTAACCTAAGGGACATCAGTCCTGGGTGTTCATTGGAAGGACTGATATTGAAGGTGAAACTCCAATACTTTGGTCACCTGATGGGAAAAGCTGACTCATTTGAGAAGACCCTGATGCTAGGAAATGTTGAGGGCAGGAGGAGAAAGGGATGACAGAGGATGAGATGGCATCACTGACTCAATGGACATGGGTTTGGGTAGACTCTGGGAGTTGGTGATGGACAGGAAGGCCTGGTGTGCTGCGGTTCATAGGGTCGCAAAGAGTCAGACACGACTGAGTGAATGAACTGACTTTTACCTGCTGAGTATTTCTCTGCCTTTTCTTTTTGTTTAGACTGCTGTGTTTATGATGCCCTTTCTTTAGGCTGAAAGTTCATGATTCCTCTTTATTGTGTAGCCTGCTCCCTTGGGTGGGGTGGCTTTTCAATTTTTCCTCGTTAGGGGTGCCTAAGTCTGTGTTCCAGTGGATGGAGCTGGATCTCTTCTTCTAGATTGCAATGAAGTGTCCAGTAGTGAATTTTGCGGTGTCTATGGGGTTGGCATGGCTTTGGGTAGCCTGTCTTTTAATGCTCAGGCAGGGCTGTGTTCCTGTTTTACTGGAAAATTAGCATGGTATGTCTTGCACCGGAAGTTATTGGCTCTTGGGTGGAGCTTGGTTTTACTGTAGGTATGGGAGGTTTTGGGTGATGAGCTCTTTTTTAACGTTCCCTGGAATCTGGACTTCTCTGATGTTCTCAAATTTTGGAGTTAAGCCACCCACCTCTGGCTTTCAGTGTTATTCTTACAGTAGCCTCAAGATTTCTCCATCCATACAGTACAGATGATAAAACATCTAGGTTAATGGTGAAACAGTTCTCCACAGTGAGGGACACCAAGAGAGGTTCACAGAGTTATGTGAAGAAGAGAAGAGGGAGGAGGGAGATAGAAGTGACCAAGAGGAGAAGAAGGGGACTCAAAAGGGGAGAGAGTAATCTAGCCAGTAATCAATTCCCTAATTGCTCTCCACTTTCTGGAACACCCAGAGAGATTCACAAAGTAGAGAAGAGAAGGGGGAGGAAGCAGATAGAGGTTACCTGGGAGAGAAAGGGGGAGTCAAAAGGGGAGAGAACAACCAAGCCAGTAATCACATCCCTAAGTGAAAATGGATACTGAAGATTAGATTCTTAAAGGTACAAAATTGATAGCAAATACCAAAAAGCAAAAATTTAAAATCTAGTATAGAGGTTAGACTCTCAAAGATACAGTATAAAAAATACGAAACAAAATCAATCACAAAATTAATACATGTATATATATATATTAAATTTGCTTTAAAAATAGGGTCTTTTTTGGCAAGGTAGTAGTAGGTTATAAAAATGAAAATTAAAGGAGTAACAAAGAACTTAAACTTTTTAAAAAAAGTGATAATAGTAAAAATATACCTAGGAATTTCTCTGGAGCTGTTGTGGGCAGTGTGGAGCCAGTTCAGTTTCAGATAGTTCCTTATTTCAGCTTGTACTTGTTCTCAAGGCTTATGGGTCTATAGCCCCCCTCCAATGCTTAGTCAGTGCTAACTACAGGGATTTAATCTGTTCACCTGTCGCTTCCTGAGCGGTTCCCCCTTCTTTGTTTATTTTGGCTTCCTCTCTTTGCAAGTCTCTTCAGACTTTTCCAGCCTGACACAAGGGAGCGAAGGTGTTCACTTATTTAGGCTCACTTGTTCAGTTGTGTTGTAGGGAGGCAGGAACACTGCAAACAAATATTGCTGGCGTGTGTTGGGAGTGATTGCAGTGTATGAACCACACTGGCTTTGCTGTAGATCAAGGCAGCATGTGTTTCCTGCATCTACACTGCTCAGGCTCCGGGTTGCTCAGCAAAGGCACTGTCCAAAGCAGACCCTGTGCTTCATGCCCATCCCAGGTCGAAGCCGCTCAGGTTCTCGGGCACTCCACAACGGCACAGACACAGCTGGGTGTGCGCTTTTTGCCCTTCCCAGGTCCAAGCAGCTCAGGGGACCAGGTGCGTGGTGAGCACACTTGCAGGTGGGCCACGTGTCTTAATCACGTCCCTGGTCCTGGCCTCGCGGTCTCCCCAGTGCGGCAGGAGAGCACCGTCTCAGGTGGGCCATGTGTCTTCTCTGGGGAGCTGATCTCAGGCTGTGACCCTCCTGGTGGATGTCAACAATCCAGGATCCCAGGAAGACATGGCTAGCAACTGGGAGCCTGGTCACAATTTGGTGGAGGATGTGGTCTCTGGGGCCGAGATTGCAGCAGCTCCTTGCCTTCCAGCTCTGGCTGACACATACCTGCCTCTCTGCCTCCGGGGGCAGCGGGGAGGGGGGCCTGTGTGCAGCTGGCTAGCTCTCCTTTAGTATTTGCTTAATCCTTTGTTCTGAGTGGGCCAGGCTGGACATTAGAGCCTTTCATGGGAAAGTTTTTTTTTACGCCAGACCCACCTGTGTGAAAGCTTCCTGCTGTGCGGAAACCTCTCCTCCTTCATGTCTCCCTCCCCAGGACAGGTCTCTGTCTCTAACTCTTTTGTTTCTCTTTGTGTCTTTTATATTTTGTTCTACCTCCTTTTGAAGAGAATAGGCTGCCTTTCTGGGTGCCAGATGTCCTCTACCAGCGTTCAGAAGTTATTTTGTGGAGGTTGCTCAGCATTCAAATGATCCTTTGATGAATTTGTGGGGGAGAAAGTGGTCTCTGCATCTTGTTCCTCTGCCATCTTGAGACCAACCTCCTAAGCTCTTACTTATTAAACACACTTCCTTTGCATGAAGTAAATTGTGGTTTGGACATTTCACACAATTCAATTTTCTCTACAAGACAGAGTATAAAAATTCCTCTAACTTTCTGATATATAGAAATCCTATTTTCTAGCACTACTATTGGCTTTACTAATGGTGTCATATGCTTTTGCTCCTTTTAAGGAGATCTGAAAGATAACGAGAGGTACAGGGTTCAGAATACCACCTGAATTGTTTGTTCACTGGTTGTTTAGAAAATCAAATGTGTAAGAAAACATGTTAACAATTCTAAAATTTCACTTATTTTATTATTGGTACACTTCATATTAGATTTCTACTGAAGTTTTTACCCTGCAAAAGAGTTGCTGGTGCTTAGTCACTAAGTCACGTCCAGCTCTTTCGCTACCCCATGGACTGTAGCCTGCCAGTCTATGTCCATGGGGTTTCCCAGGCAAGAATACTGGAGTGGGTTGCCACTTCCTTCTCCAGGGGACCTTCCCAATCCAGGGACTGAACTTGCCTCTCCTGCATTGGCAGGAGGTTCTTTACCACTGAGCCACCAGGGAAGCCCTGCAAAGGAGTAGGTATGTTATATTCAATACATAGAATAATATCAAGGTTTCTATGTTTTGTAAACAATAGGATATAGGAGCTATTTCATGTGTAAATGGTTACTTCAAAAATTATAACAATACCCCAGTTTTAGAGTGAGTTTTTAAAATGTGTTCTTTTTGGGACAGAATCATGTTTTTCTTTGCTGAAAACTGTCAAAAATGGCAATTTATTGCCTTGTCAATATGAAGATTTTATTTACATTAGCAGATGATCAAAAATTTAATATAGTATGGATCCCTGAACATAAAACAAACATATTTTACTTTCCTTGGTGTTTATATTGAATATTATTTGAATGTAATTGTAAAGGAAACTGAAATTATGTTAATATTAGTTCTCAAATATATAGTGTTTGCAAAATAACATGACTTATTATGTGTGAAATAACTAGATTGAAAAAAATATAATTTTACAGTATAATTCATTTAATAAGTCTTTCATTAATTTTGCTATAAAAATGTAAAATAAATCAGAATATAACTCAAAAGTTTTTCATAAGAAGTTTCATGTCTAAAGGTAAACAGTCCTATGCATTTCTCCCAAATACATAGTGAACATTCAAAGAAAATGTATAAAACATTTATAAGCATGTAAACAGAAAATGGACCATAGTTTCAAGCTGGAGTCACACTCTGGGACCACAGATATCAAGAGTATTTCACATGTGGCATAATGACTTTCAAAAGAAAAAAATTAGTTTTTCTTTTATACAGTCCCAATCAATACAGACATCACATTTTTTGATACTTTCATTACTCTGCTACCATATTCCTCCTGTCAAAAGTTGAATGCAGCCATTGTTTTCATAAAACATGAAATCCTAGATAAAAACAAAAATGCAGAAATGAATTTCAAGAGCATAACAGAGATAATTCTGATGCACAGGGATGCTAAGGGATCTGATGAAACACAGTAATATATCTGTTAAACAAGAAAAAATAACTGAAAATTGAAAAGCTGTAGCAAGTCTATAGCTATATGAGCTCCACCTGCAGCATTTAATTTTAATAGCAATGAAATCCCATAATTCTATGCATTTTTTGATAACTGTAAGAATTGAATTCATCTTCTGGTAATTTCTCCTTCGTGGATCACAGCCTTGCCATGGAAAAGGGCTTGTGTACTCACTGAAGCTATGAGTCATGTCATGCAGAGCCACCCAAGATGGACAGGTGATAGTGATAAGTTCTGACAAAACATAATCCACTGGAGAAGGAAATAGCAACCCATTCCAGTATTCTTGCTTGGAGAATCTTATGGACAGTATGACAAGGCAAAAAGATATGAAAATGAGCCCCCCGGATCAGAAGGTGTCCAATATAGTACTGGGGAAGCTGAAGGCAATAAATAATATCTCCAGGAAGAATGGAGTGGCTTGGCCAAAGCAGAATTGACACTCAGTTGTGGATATGTCTGGTGGTGAAAGTTAAGACTGATGCTGTAAAGAACAGTATTGCATAGGAACCTGGAATGTTAGGTCTGTGAATCAAGGTAAATTGGACACGGTCAAGCAGGAGATAGCAAGAGTAACATTGACATCTTAGGAGTTAAGTGACTAAAATGGACAGGAATGGGCGAATTTAATTCAGATGATCATTACATCTACTATTGTGGGCAAGAATCACTTAGAAGAAATGGAATACCCCTTGGGGTCAAGAGCAGAGTCCAAAATGCAGTATTTGGGTGCAGCCTCAAAAATAATAGAATGATCTCAGTTCATTTTCAAGGTAAATCATTCAACAGCACAGTAATCCAAGCTATGCATGCCCCAACCACTGATGCTGAAGGAGCTGAAGCTGACAAGTTCTGTGACTATCTACAGCACCTTCTAGAACTAACATTAAAAAAAAATAAGGTCCTTTTCATCATATGGGATTAGAATGCAAAAGTAGGAAGTCAAGAAACACCCTGAATAACAGGCACGTTTGGCCTTGGAGTACAAAATGAAACAGGGGAAAGGCCAACAGTGTTTTCTTAAAGAGAAAATCCTGGTCATAGCAAGCATCTTTTCCAAAAACCAAAGAGAAGACTCTACATATGGACAATACCTACACATGGACAATATCTACAGATGGTCAACACCAAAATCAGACTGACTATGTTATTTGCAGCCAAATATGGAGAAACTCTACACAATCAGTAAAAACAAGACCTGGAGCTGACTTTGGCTTAGATCATAAGCTTCTTCTTGAAAAATTCAGGCTTATGTTGAAGAAAGTAGGGAAAACCACTTGACCATTTGGGTGTGATCTGAATCAAGGCTCTTATGATTATACAGTGGAAATGACAAATATATTCAAGGGATTAGATCTGATAGACAGAGTGCCTGAAGAACTATGGAGGAAGGTTTGTAATATTGTAGAGGAAGGGGTAATCAAAACCATCCCAAAGAACAAGAAATGCAAGAAGGCAAGGTGGTTATCTAAGGAGGCTTTACAAACAGTTGAGAAAGAAAAGGAGTGAAAGGCAAGGGAAAAAGGGAAAGATATACCCAACTGAATGCAGAGTTCCGAGAATAGCAAGGAGAGATAAGTAGGTCTTTTTCAATGAAGAGTGCAAAGAAATAGAGGAAAACAACAGAATGGGAAAGACTAGAGATATCTTATTGGAGAAATCAAGAGAATATTTCATGCAAGGATGGGCATGTTTAAGGACTGAAACAGTAAGGACCTAATGGAGGCAGAAGAGATTAAGATAAGGGGGAAAGAATATACAGAACCATGCAAAAAAGGTCTTAATGACATGGATAACCATGATGGTGTGATCACTCCTCTAGAGTAAGACATCCTGGTGTGTGAAGTCTAGTGGGCCTTAGGAAGGATTACTGCAAGAAAAATTAGTGGAGGTGATAGAATTCCAGCTGAGCTATTTAAAATCATAAATGATGATGCTGTTAAAGTGCTGCACTCAATATGTTAGCAAATGTGGAAAACTCAGCAGCGGCCACAGGACTGGAAAAGGTCAGTTTTCATTCCAATTCCAAGAAAGGGCAATGCCAAAAAATGTTCAAATTACTGCACAATTGTGCTCATTTCACATGCTAGCAAGGTTACATTCAAAATCTTTCAAGCTGGGCTTCAGCAGTACATGAACCAAGAATTTCCAGATGCACAGCTGGGTTTCAAAGAGGAGAGGAACCAGAGATCAAATTGCCAACCTCCACTGGATCTTAGAGAAAGCAAGGGAGTTCAAGAGAAACATCTACTCTTGCTTTATTGACTATGCTTTGATTACTTGGATCAAAAAAACTGTGGAAGATTCTTAATGAGATGGGAGTACCAAACCACCTTACCTGTCTCCTAAGAAAGCTGTATATGGGTCAAGAAGCAACAGTCAGAACCAGGCATGGAACAATGAACTGGTTCAAAATTGAGAAAGGAGTATTAAAATGCTGTATATTGTCACCATACTTATTTAACTTCTATGCAGAGTACATCACGGGAAATGCTAGACTGGATGAACCACAAAGTGGAATCATAATTCTGTCAGGAATATCAGCAACCTCAGATATGCAGATGATACCATTCTAATAGCAGAAAGTGAAGAGGAACTAAAGAACCTCTTAATGAGGGTGAAAGAGGAGGGTAAAAAAGTTGGCTTAAAACTTAATATTCAAAAAACTAAGATCATGGCATCCAGCCCCATCACTTCATGGTGAATAGATAGGGAAAAAGTGGAAGCAGTGACAGATTTTATTTTCTTGGGCTCCAAAATCACTATGGACAGTGACTGCAGCCATGAAATTAAAAGACACTGCTGCTTAGAGGGAAAGCTATGACAAATGTAGACAGCATATTAAAAAGCAGAGACATCCATTTGCTGACAAAGGACCATATTGTCAAAGCTATGGTTTATCCAGTAGTCATGTACAGATGTGAGAGTTTGACCATAAGGAAGCTGAGTGCCAAAGAATTGATGCCTTTGAATTGTGGTGCTGGAGAAGACTCTTGAGAGTCCCTTGGACAGTAAGGAGATCAAACCAGTCAATCCTAAAGGAAATCAACCCTGAATATTTATTGGAAGGACTGATTCTGAAGCTAAAGCTTCAGTACTTTGGCCACCTAAGCAAAGAGCCAACACATTGGAAAAGACTGATGCTGGGAAAGATTGAAGACAAAAGGAGAAGTGGGCAAAAGAGGATGAGATAGCTAGATATCATCACTGACTTAATGGACATGAAGTTGAGCAAACTCCAGGAGATAGTGAAGGATAGGGAAGCCTGGTGTGCTGCAGACCACGGGGGTTGCAAACAGTTGGACATGACTTAGTGACTGAACAATAGTACATAGGTATTATTATCATCAGAGCTTAAAAAAACTTTATTTTTATATCATCATCAAATAGCCAGTCAGTATTCAAATTCCCTGGATGCCCTGTTAATGTGTTTTTATATTGATTTGTTCAAATCAATATGCAGACATGCTCCACAAACTGGGTAAGGTTGATGTCTCTCTGCTTTTTTCATTTTATTTTTCTTTCTATCTTCCTTGACAATTATTTGTTGAAGGAAAGGGTCCTGTTTGCTATATATCCTCTCACCTTTTGGTTTTTCCTGATTGCATCTCCAATGACTGTTTAAGATAGTTATCTAATGATTTCAAATCTTGTTTGGAAACTGGAATGACCTGGGAGCCTAATCAGCTTAAAGACTTGTTTCCACCTCCACAGATTTTAGTTTACTAGATGTGGGCAGTTTTGACATAGGGACTGTGAAAGCTACCCAGGCATTTCTACTGTATCGGTAAGGGTGAAAAATCATTGCTCTGTCTCAGGTGTCTTTGACTTTGACTGGATATGAATTTATCTGAGGAGTTTTACAAGCCTCTGATGCTAAGCTTCTGACTTAATTGAACTGGGGTATGATATGCTATTTGGGGTTTCTGAACTCTCCCTATGTTATTTAATGTGAAGATAAGGTCTGGTTCATTGCTTTATCCCATGTATTTCCTCTCAATTTGCAATTTGATCTGATGGCTTGATTGGATATATACTCATTGCAGATTACACCTTATATTAGATGATTTAATAGTGAATAAAAAGGAAACCTACCTGTTTCTCTGAGTTTTATCCTATGTAAGCCCATATTTAAAGTATTCCCATATCACTAATTTTGATTCTTTAATACAGGCCCCAAAGACTAGGGCCTCTCCTTAACATAGAAGGTCTTCCTGCTGACACGGGAACCTGAGCAGAGGTCCCAGAGAGAACGAGTCTATGAATCTACAGTGTCAGGTGAAACAGGATTTAAGAGCTAGGACTAAATAAATACTTTTGGGGAAAAAAAAAAAAAACTATAAATTTAAGAAGCTCATTCTAAAATATACAATTTACTGAATAATTTAAGCCTGATACTAGAGAAATCATCTACAGCCAAAATTAGTGACAACAGACTTACAAGGAGAAAACACATGCCAAGTATCACAGCTTTCATTTTCACATCAATGTCCGCAGGAAACTGGATGCCAAAGGTACTGTAGTGTGTAAATATTTCTCTCATAATCTTAGTAAACTGCTTGGAAATCTTGCCAAGCACATTTTTTCCATCAAGAGATTTAATCTGAATTAAAAAAAGGAGACAGTCTCAAAAAAAATTCTAGAAAATTTTAATCTACTTTCAAAGTTGGATAAAAATGAAACAGATATACTCTTAAAATAACATGCCAAACGGAACTGTGCATATTATGATCCATTAGATGCATACAGATATTTGCATCTGTCTATAGATACATGAAAAATTATTTCTTTGCTTTAGAGGACTTACATAAAAGTAGTTTTGCTGAAAAGTTAACATTAAGACAGACTTATAAGTGAGTTGAACTGATCCAAAATAAAAGTTAAGTGAAAATGATATAAATATGAAATATTTCTTTGACAAATTTCTAGAAGCCATTGGGGGGGGGGTAGTAAATGGAATGCCCATCTGAATTCTAGTTTAAGACAAGCACAGAGGGCTGACATAGGGTGAGTGTTTAAATATGATAGAAGGCCTCATTATCATCCACTGTCAGTAGGAAAATGTAAAATGCCAAAAGCCCGGAAAAGCAGACTGGCAGTTTTGAGTGAAGGTAGGTAACCAATAAGTAACTTGATGGCATGCTCCAGCTCCAAGCTTGGGGTAAGACTGGACAACAGAATGGTGCTGAACAATAAAAGAGGAAGGATGCATAAAAAAACAAAGAGCTTCAAAGTAAAATTTTTCTTGTTTTTTAATTTATTTTTAATTGCTGGATAATTGCTTTACAATGTTGTGTTAGTTCCAGATTTAGATTTTTGTCCCTTGTATGGAAATTTGGATGCAGCTGAACAGACCTCATGGTTTTCTAAGAGAATCATTATATTAAGATTAAGTTACAAAACACTGAACCTTTATATTATGCATTTGTATCTGAATAATACAAAAGCTATAAGGCTAGACTACCTGTTGAAAAGCTGCCATGATAGAATTTACTCATGTAGTAATAAATATACAAATATATTGTGGTTTACAGGACCATAGAAAGCCTAACTGTATAGTATGTCTTATTGCATTTTTGTTAAAATTCTCTTTGCATATGTGAGCTTTTCAAAGGAACTTAAAGAGTCAGAGCTCCTGAAAAGGGTCTAGAACACTGGAAGTCTGTGTTTCAGACTAAGGAAAGACTAAATGCTTTGGCAATCAGATTTAATAACAAGGCTAATGTTCTATTTGGGGTTTCCCTGATGGCTCAGTGGTAAAGAATTGAATCCCCCCACCAATACAGGAGACACAGTTTCCCTCCCTGGGTCAGGAAGATCCCCTAGTGGAGGAAACGGCAATCCACTCCAGCACTGTTGCCTGAAAAATCCCATGGATGGAGGAGCCTGGCAGGCCACAGTCCATGGGGCCTCAAAGAGTCGGACATGACTGAAAACACACAATGTTCTGTTTTAAATGATAATATTCAGTGCCTCCATACAAAACCCACCATGTTTAAATGTTAGATATTTTGCTTATGTTTATGTGACTGTAAGGCTCTGCTTCTCTTTTTCCATTTAATATAATCAACACTGACATCTAATCAGAGCAATAACTACCTTTCTGACCAAGGTTAAATACATGAGCACATTATCGTCCTCTTGAGATATCAGTATACAAATATTTATTTAATATATTTGTAACATCTTACAAAATTATATTATCCTTATATTAGGAAAGCAAATCCTATAAATATATCTCATCTCTTACCTTAAATTCAATATTTCCACAAAACTTGCACGCAAAATATGGGCCTATAATTCTTAGAACGTCCTTTTTATTTTCATTTTGAATTGTAAACTTTGGCAGACATGGGTGCCAGGTCTGTGTAACATAACCTATTGGTATACCAGGAGGAGCACAGATCTCTATCTACAAAAACAAGAGAGTAAGGTAATATGTAATTATCATCATCACTGGAACAATGTCTGATAATCACTTTCATTTATTGAGTAGTTTTTTTCAATTAATAATATTATTTTCTCCCACCTTCACTGAGGTACATTTGACACACAAAATTAGTAATATGTTTAAAGTGTATGATACAATGATCTGTTATACAAACACATCATAGAAAGATTACCACAATTAAGTTAAATGAAACAAGCATCACCTCATATGGGTAATTTTTTTTTTTTTGTAAGAACACATGAGCTCTATCTCAGCAAATGTCAAGCATACAGTAGAGCATTACTAACTGTAGTCCTCAGGGTGCATATTAGATCCTCAGAGCTTATTCATTTTATCACTGCAAGCTTGTAGTGTCTGACTTAACATACCCTGATTCTCCCACCCACCAGTCCCTGGCAATTACCATTATATTCTTTGTATCTATAAGTTAGACTTTTTTTTCAGATTACACATATACATAAAACCATATAGCATTTTTCTTTTTAATCTGACTTATCAATTAGCATAATACTTTCTGGTGCATGTATATTATCACAAATGGCAAGATTTTCTTCTCTTTTTTGGCTGAATAATATTTTATATTTGTATATATATGTATGCGCATGTGTGTGTGTATATACACACACATCTCACATTTTCTTTATCCATTCACCAGTCAGTAGACACTAAGGATGTTTCCATATCACGGCTACTAAATAAGGGTTCAATAAACACATAAGTACAGAAATCTCTTTGAGAACCTGATATTATTTCCTTAGGATATATACTCAAATGTTGGATTGCTGGCTTATGTGGTAGTTCTATTTTTAATAATCTGAGGAGACTTGATACTCATCTCCATGATGGCTATTTACATTCCCACCAATGTACAAAATTTCCCTTTTTTCTATTAACACATCCTTGTCAACATGTCTTTGTGATAACACATTCTAACAGGTGTGATGTAAGATATCATTGCGGGTTTGATTTGCATTTTTCTGACCAATAGTGATTTTGAGCAACTTTTCATATATCTTTTGGTCATCTCTATGTTTTCTTTGAAAAATACATTTCTTTAATGTCTATTTAAATCCTTTGCTCCTTTTCTGAGTGCAAAATACTGCCCTATGCACCACTTAATTCACACTCCATTCTTAGCAGGCTGGTACTATTATTCCTATTTATAGAGGAAGTGACTGAGGGACAGAGAGGTACATCAGTTGGTTTAAGCGTCCTCAGGGGCGACGTGGAAGGGATGAGACGCCAACTGCACACACCGCCTCCTCAGGGGCGACGTGGAAGGGGTGAGACGCCAACTGCACACACCGCCTCCTCAGGGGCGACGTGGAAGGGGTGAGACGCCAACTGCACACACCGCCTCCTCAGGGGCGACGTGGAAGGGGTGAGACGCCAACTGCACACACCGCCTCCTCAGGGGCGACATGGAAGGGGTGAGACGCAACTGCACACACCGCCTCCACTTCGAAGTGCTGCTCTACTAGCCGCCTATATTTCAAAATTTTCCTTTTTTCAGACTTATGAAAAATATCTAAATTATTAAAACCCTTAAACTCCTTTATAAATAGTAGTTTAGTGTACAAACGGAGCTCTGATCTCCAGGGCAATGTTCAAATATGAGTGTAATAGTGCTAGAACGTAAGGAAAAATGGGGCCTGGGTTCTTGGCTCTGAACCCTAGCTGGGTGACCTTGAGAGTATCTCAGCATGTTCATCTGTAAGTAAAGACTTCTTAGACCTATTTTTTAAGACCAAAAGTATAATGGATGCTAATATGCCCTACAAATTGTGAAAAATATTCCATCAAACTCTCAATTTTGCCTTAGCTATTTTTATGAGTATTGTTATATCTAAAGTAGGTGACATGGGAAACAAAATTCAGTATGAATAAGTTCAGTTATCCTTTCAAAAGAAGTGCAGTATTAGACATCAAGTGTCTATGTGCTTGCAGCTCTGTCTGCCCTGCTCTCGCAGCGACCGGTACAGATGCTTGAGTGACCCAGGCAGTGCAGGTCTCAGGCCAGTGGAGGTACAGGTAAAGGTCAACTTCTGTAAACACTCTGTGCCCTGCTGCCCACCCCCCACCGAGACCCGTGCTCTCTGTCAGAGGGCTGTCGAGTTCTATGGAAGAGACACCTGGCCTTTACAGGCCTGAAGGTGCTCACAACACTCAGATATAATACTTTTTTTCAAATAGAGAACTGAAAAACACAGGATTTGAGATTTCTTAGAGGGAGCCTTCCCTAGGTTAGCTCCCTGCAAGTTGGCTAAAATTATGAGATGAACACATCTGTTCTTTTCCTCACTCTTCTGTCCACTTGCCTCTAGGATGGCATTCAAAGATATTCTCTATGGAACCCTCCTCTAGGTTTGGCCAGGCCCTCGTGGTCATTTCAGGTGAGGGACGTGACCCAGGTGCCCTAATTCTCAGCTCTCCCTGAAGATCAAGGAGTCTCGTCTCTGAGCTCTCTGATCTCAGCCCAGAGGGCACACTGCTCATGAAGGTGTGGCTAACTGCTTACTCTTTTCCACCTGCCTCCTTCCTACAAGTTACTCTCGAGTATAACCCAATAGCTGGTGTGCTGCTTTTCCTTTAAATCTCATATGATTATGTAGTTCAACGACAGGGTAAAGCTTCTTGCTGACCTACTTTACAGAGTACCCAGGCAATTGCTTACTGACCTCCTGTAAGCAGCAGGGGAAACAACAGCTGGAACACCGCAGTGGCCTCTTCAGAGTTATGACTTCTTGGCCCTTGAGATCTCGAATCCTCATGGTGAAGGGTCTGCAGGACCCACAGCAAAGCCGAGTGCACACAGCAGTGTCCTCCACTGCAAGGTACATCCTCTGTCCACGGCTGTTCTTGATTTCATATCTGTTGTTGGTCTCATAGCTTATCATGGCTGAAACCATGGAAGAGGGAACCACAATCACTATTTTAAAAATATTTTGAATCTAAATATTTTAGACTTACATATCTTTAGACATTATATTTCTTGGATAAATAGAAAAAGGAAAGGTGTTTAGAGATGATCTAGACAGAGAAAAAAAGGCAAAGAAAAAAAGGAGGAAACTGGAGTAAGGTACTGAGAAATTAAAAGTATCTATGTGAGACATGGAAGACAAAACAACTAGTATCTTCCTAATCCCATGGACCACACCAGAAAGGAGACTTTGCTGTGAGGGATGGTACAGTTCTGCCAATGGTCACAGTCATGCTAAGTGTATGCAGAAAATGTCTACTTGTTCATGTATTCAACTATAGAGGGGAATATAGGATGGTTGTTACATTTATGTGCTGTACAATATTATATTAAGTAAACAGGCTTAAGATTTTGTTTTATAAACCAGGCATCACTTCTCTCTATGCACTGTGTGAGGAATGTATGAGAGGGCTTTCTCTCAATGAGCACATGTGATAAAGGAGAGAGTAAAAATGGAAGGGGAGGTAGAACTGTGCCCTGGGTTCATGGTACCCTGTCTAGATCAGCAGTTGTTGTTCAGAAGGGAGAGGTGGGATTAGAACAGGGGAAGAGGTGCTTGGCAACCAGGGCTGTAAGTCACAGGACATCTAGACCACTGGCATCCTAAGTGCACTGTGTACCTTAGTGGGGGCTAATGTCTCTATGGGGGGAACAGAGACATGCTAAATACTGACACCCATGTGGTGTCTTACCAAAGGGCTTCCCCTACAAACCACACTTTGGAAACTCTCCTTGCTTAAAGCCAGAAGAAGCAATGAATGGTCCCACTTGTCCACAGCCCTCATTAACATGGATCATAGGAAGTCAGAAGCCACCAAAATAAAGAGCAATTAAAAGAGACACACAGAGACAAAAATCATGGATTTAGTCAAAAGTCATTCACAAGCTCTATCACCTTGACCTCCTTTAAATGTCTTTTACTCAGGCCCTGGATTTTGCTTTAGAGAACTATCCTTGACCTCACCATCTCCCAGCCAAATATCTAATGAGAAAAGGCTGATCTGATTCATGAAATAGAATCTTTTTTTTTTTTTTTAATTTGGTTTTTCAGCATATGGGATCTTGGCTCCCTGACCAGGGATCAAACCCATGCCTGTGCAGTGGAAGCTTGGAGTCTTAATCACTGGCCACCACAGAAGTCCTGATATAGACTCTATTGTCTAGCTGTTTCGTTAAGTACCTTACTCTTGAAAGTCTTTAGTTTGTTCATCTCTAAAATGCGATTGATGTGTTTACACAATCTCTTGTTTCCTTCTAACTACTGAAGAATGAAAACAAATATAAAAATTCTATAGTGACATCTTTCTGGTATATTAAATTTTGAACTGGAAACAGCTATAAATAAGTGTGTCATCGTCTCAAATGCTAAAAAGAAACTGAGTAATCTTCACCCCTTTACACTACTCATAATGTGAAAATATGATATAGACTTACTACTTGAGAAAAAAATTAAGAACACCTCTTAAAAACTGAAAATTAACAACTAGTAAACTTGTTAGTTATATTTCATGCCAAAAATGTTTTTGCAAATCTACATAAACATTTAAATTAAAAAATGCTTAAAAATGTATCATATCTTGTCTTTTGGGTTTTATAATCTCAATGAAATATACCTTAGAATAAAGTGTTTAGAAAATTCAGACAGGGTGGGGTGGAAGAGACACTTAAGAGGGAGGGGATATATGTATGCCTATGGCTGATTTACATTGTTATATGGAAAAAAACCAACACAACATTGTAAAGCAATTATCCTCCAATTAAAAATAAATTAAAAAAACATTAGAGTGAAAATTGTAAACACCAAAGAGCTCCTCTCCAGAGAAAGCTTAGTTTCAAAAAGCTAAACAAGGGCTTCCCTGATGGCTGTGGTAAGGAACCTGCCTGCCAGTGTAGGAGTGGGTTCAGGAGGATCCCACGTGCATCGAAGCACCTAACCCAGGGCGCCACAGCTGTGGAGACTGCTCCAGAGCCTGGGAGCTGCAAACCCTGGGGCCACATGCCTCAACTCCTGGAGCCTGTGTGCCCTAGAGTCCAAGGTCCACAAGAAGAGAAGGCGCCCCAATGAGAAGCCTGCACAATGCAACTAGGAGCGGCCTTCACTCGCCACAACTGGAGAAAAGCCCTTGCAGCACTGAATGCCCAGCACGGCCAAAACTAACTAACTAAAATTATTAAAAAACTAAACAAATTCAATTCTACACATAGCTAATAATGTGTATTATAAGTCATTTTAAGAATATACTTTTATTGAGATATAATTGACATAGAACATTGTATTCATTTTAGGTGTACAACATTATGATTTGCTATCTGTATATATGAGAAATGTATACCACAATAATACTACACATACACTCAAAATTTTTTTCTTGTGCAGGAAGTTTTAAGATCTATTACCTCAGCAACTTTCAAATATACTACATGTGTGTGTGTATTGTCGCTCAGGATTAAGTCGCTTCTGTCATCTCCAAGTCTGTGCCACCATGTGGACTGGGTTCTCCAGGCAAGAATATTGAGATAGGTTGCCATTTCCTCTCCCAGGGGATCTTCCCAACCCAGGGATTGAACCCTCGTCTCTTATGTCTACTGCATCGGCAGGCAGGTTCTTTACCACTAGTGCTACCTGGGAAGCAATAGTACTGTTAATTATGGACTTTCAGGTGGCACAGTGGTAAAGAATCCACCTGTCAATGAAGGCGATGCAAGAGACGTGGGTTCATCCGTTGGCTCGGAAAGATCCCCTGGAGAAGGAAATGGCAACCTACTCCAGTATTCTTGCCTGGAGAATCCCGTGGAGAGAGGAGCCTGACAGGCGACACTTCACTGGGTTGCAGAGAGTCAGACACGACTGAGTGACTATGCATAGAGCACACGCTGTATATCACATTCTTAGGATTTCTTCCTCTTACAACTGAGTTTATACCTTTTCACCACATTACGCATTTCTCCATCACACTACCCCCAAACCTACAGCAACCACCAGTCTATTATCTAAGTTTAGTTTCTTTCGGATTCCACATATAGGTGAGATCATACACTATTTGCCTCCTATGTCTAACTTTTTCACTTAGCATAATGCCCTCAAGGTGTACCCATGTTGTTACAAATAATAGGATTTCTTTTTTATGACTGAATAAAACTCCAGTGTATATTTTCCATGTTTTCTTTATTCATTCATCTGTCAATTGATCCAAGTTGTTTCACTGTCTGGACTACTATACATACGCTGCAATGAATATGTAAGTGCATATACTTTTTTGAGATAGTGATTTTTGTTTCTTATTGATAAACACCCAGATATGGAATTGCTGGATCATATAGCAGTTTAATTTTTTAATTGTGGTGTAATTGACATATAATATTATATTTGTTTCTTTTCTTAATTTTTTTCAGGAATTTCCATACATAGTATTTTTCCATGTTGGCTGCACCAGTGTACATTCCCACCAACAGGGCCTAAGGATTCTCTTTTCTCCATAGCCTACTAGCTGCTTGTTCTCTCTTCTCTTTTTGATAATAGTCATTTTAAAGCATGAGGTGATTTCACTGTAGTTTTGATTTGTATTTTTCTGATCATTAGTGATGTTGAGGACTTTTCATGTACCTCTTTTTGAAAACATCTATTGAGATCCTCTGTCCATTTTTTAAATCATTTTTTTCTACTGAGTTTTATAAATTCTTTATATATTTTAGATATTAATCCTTTATCAAATATTTGATTGACACATATTTTCTCCCATTCACAAGTTACTCTTTCATTGATGATTTCCTTTGCTGTGTAGAGCTATTTAATGTAACCCTACTTGTTTTAATTGCCTGTGATTTATGATTTATACAAAAAAATTTATTACCTCAAATGGAGCAATGTCAAGGAACTTACCTTCTCTAGTTTCTTCTAGGAGTTCTGTAGTTTCAGGTCTTACATTCAAATTTTGATTCCATTTTGAGTTCTTTTTTGTTGTAGTTTTAAGATTGTGGTCTAGATTTACTGTTTTGCAAATGGAAATGCAAATTTCTCACACTATGTATTGAGGAGACTGCTTTTTCCTCTTTGTGTATCGTTGGCTCCTTTAACACGTATCAGTTGACTGTGTGGGTTTATTTCTGGGCTCCTATTATTTCCCACTGGTCTGTGTGTTTGTTTTATGCCAACATGGTACTGTTTTGATCACTACAGTTTTGTAATACAGTTTTAAATTAGGAAGCATGTTCTTCCTAATACAGCTTTGTTCTTTCTCAAGATTGCTTTGGCCCTTTGGGGGTTTTGTGGTTTCAAAAAAAAATTGGGATTGTTTTTCCTCTTTTAGTGAAAAATTTCATTGATGTTTTGACAGGGATTGAATTGACTCTATAGATTGCTTTATGCAGTGTGGACATTTAAGCAATATGTGTTATTCCAGCCAAAAAGGACAGGATACCTTTCCATTTATTTGTTCTTTTTCAGCATCTTTTGTCAATGTCACATAACTTTCAGAGTATAGATTTTTCTCCTTCTTCATTAAATATATTCCAGATATTTTCTTTTAGATATAATTATAAATGATATTGTTTTATTAATTTCTTTCTGATTTGTGTATATTGATTTTGTATCCTAAATCTTTAGTGTATTTTTTTATTCTATCAGTTTACTTATAGAGTCTTTAAGGTTTTCTATATAATATAATATATTTGAAAATAGAAACAGCTTACTTCTTCCTTTCTGATTTGGATGTCTTTTATTTCTTTATCTTTTCTAGTTGCTCTGGATTGAGCCTCAGTTCTATATTGAATAAAAGTGGCAAGTGTGAATTATCCTTGCCTTTTTCTTTAACTTAGATGAAAAGCTTTCAGTTTTTCATCATTGAATATGATGTTAGCTATAGGATTATGACATATGGCCTTTTATCTTGAAGTATGTTCCTTGTATACTCTGTTGAGAG